GCAGAGGAGTGGGCTTTGCTGGACCTGGCTCAGAGGAAGCTCTACAGAGACGTGATGCTGGAGACCTTCAGGAACCTGGCCTCCGTGGGTGAGGACGGCTTCCTCCCTGCACTTTAGGGAACAAATATTTCTTACAATGTTCTTTCTTACTGGAACCAAGGAATAGGAATATGTTGAAAAACAGGCAGACGTGGTCCCCACCTTTATAGAACCTACCTAGAGTCAAATAGCTTTTCCATGACCATAAATATTTCTATATTGAATTGATTTTTATTGCTCTTGATCAGAATCCTGAGGCTCCCTAATTGTGTAAATGTGAGCGTGGTCTCCAGTGTTACTTTGGAGCAGTGAGAGCAGCGTTACGGTTTTCACCCTGTGAAAGTTGCACTGTGATCAATACACATTTGACATGATAATCTTGCTGCAGTTAAACCCAAACTCACCCATCCTCAGTGACGTGAGGACCAGAGAATCGGCCCATCTCATGGAGGGCTTGTTGTCCTCCATCCTCCCCCTGAGAAGCTTTTCTCCACGAGCAGGACAGCAGCCACGCACCGTCTGATCTCCTAGTGGCAGCTGGGTCACTGGAGATAGGCTTCCTCTAGGGCCTCTGTGCCTGCGATCACCAGGAGGGCACACCTCTCGGGAGGAGCAGGTTCTGTATCAGGGAGAGATATTTGGACATAACTGTTAGAAACATGACTCTGTCTTTGAGAAGTGACGTTTGTCGTTAACCTGGCTTCCCTGTTGGACTTTTCATCCATCGTTGCCCGCTTGAGAAGTCTTTCTGTAGCTCCTTTTATAAAGGGAGCATTTGGGAATGTGCATTTTGCCCAGTTTCTTGCTACTTTGCTTCTCTGGTAATATTGATCTCAACATCAGTCTCCATTCTTTTTGAGGTATTTCTTAGTGGACAGGCTGCCATTTTGACTCATTTTCTCTACCATTGCCAAAGTTCCAAATAGATGAGGTCTTCAGAGTTTTTCTTTGCTTGAGTGATAAATTAGGTTCTGGACCCAATTGCATCATGTGTGTATCTGTGTGTTTGTGTGTTTAGGCTCCTCACAATTGGTCAACTCAATTCTGACAGCATCCACCCATGGTAGCCTCAAATTCCACAGCTTAAGGGTTCAGTCCTACAAGACTCACCCCTGGTCTTCACCCGCCCTCATCTGATGCCAGTTTCAAGCTCAGGTTGTTACCAGTACTTGTGACCAACTGACTATAAATGAGAGAGGTTCCCGTGACCCCCCTCCTCAGGTTCAATTAATTTGCTAGTACACTCACGGGACTCAGAGAAACATTTCATGTACTTCATCACCAGTTTATTATAAAAGGATATAACTCAGGAACAGTCACATGGAAGAGATGCATAGGGCAGTATATGTCAGAAGGGCTTGGAGCTTCCATGCTGTCTCCAGGTGCCAGTCTTCCCATTATCTCCATGTTTTCACCAACATAGATGCTCTCTGAACTTCTTTTTGCTGGGGTGGGGGAGGTTATGGAGGCTTTATTACATATGCATGATTGATTAAATCATTGGCCATTGGCAAGTGATTGAAACTCTGGCTCCTCTCCCCTCCCCAGAGGTGCTGGGGTGTCTGGGGGTGTGAGTGGGACTGAAAGTTCCACGCTTTAGTCACATGGCATCTCCACTGGCAACCAGCCCCCATCCTGCGCTGCTTTTCAACAGTCACCTTCACGAATATAAACCCAATTGTGATGGAAAGGGCTTGTTATGAATAACAACACTTATTTCACCCTTCTGACCCTGAAGCATTTTCAAGAACTGAGAACAGGAGATCAAATATTATTCCATTGCTTTTATCACTCAGGAAATTCCAAAGGTTTTGGGAGCTGTGAGCAGGGAACTGTGGATGAGTACCTGATTTATGTGAGAAGTGTATGTTGGTCATCTGAATGACCAAATATATATGTATATATTTCTTATAAATCACAACCTCACACATATATCCTTCCTTCCTTTATAAAACTATTTTACATTTTTTGAATCAGCGTATGGAAAAAAAGTACAAATGGCCTCTTTCCTTTATCCCACCATTTCTTTCCCAAGGATTTAGTTATGTTACCAATTGTTGCAGGTTCTTGCCCTCAAGTTAAAACCAGTAGATCAAGTGCTCATTGGGATATTTTGGAGACTGGACTATGCAGTGAAGAGAAAATAGTAAGATTCACAAGAAATGATTCCTGCTCTTTTTTGGGAGAAAACTGGGCATTTCATAACATGAGAGATCAGCGTGTAACCCAGGAGAGGCATTTGAGGTGAGTGGCACTCCCACAAGGAGAAGGGGGATCTCGGCAGACTGTTAGACTCACTTGAAATTAAATAAAAGATATAAACCTAGGTAAACAATTGTGTACTCACAGAGTTTTTACAACACAGTACTTTTATAAATGTGATGTAGACATTGAGCATCTGAAACTTAATTCAGTAGGAAATTTCAATGATCAGGAAACCCAATAGGTAAAAAACACTGAAAGTTATGGCTCTGTTTGAGCCCTCAGCTGGAGCATTAAACTTGTTGAACTTTGTCACAATGCAGAGAGTGCCAAAAACATGCCAATTCAGTGCACATGGCAAATACGTAGTCAAAATAATCATTAACATCCATCAATAAATTATTAATAAAGAAATCATTATTTATTTTTATTTTTATTTTTTTGCGGTACACAGGCCTCTCACTGTCGTGGCCTCTCCCATTGCGGAGCACAGGCTCCGGACGCACAGGCTCAGCGGCCATGGCTCACGGGCCCAGCCGCTCCGCGGCATGTGGGATCTTCCCAGACCAGGGCACGAACCCGTGTCCCCTGCATCGGCAGGCGGACGCTCAACCACTGCGCCACCAGGGAAGCCCAAGAAATCATTATTAATCCCTAATACTGTGCTTCCTACTTTGAACAGAAATCATTTGGTGGAGAGCCTCTGTGAAGGTAAAGAAGGCCATCAATGTCTAGAAACCCGGAACCAGCTTACACACCTTACTGTGCATAAGGGTTATCTGACTGCAATTCAGCCCTGTAAATGCACTAAGTGTGGAAAAGCCTTCAGGGATTGTTCTTTCCAGAGGAATCAGCAAAGATCTCACACCAGACACAAACCTCATCCATGTGAAGAATGTGGGCAAACCTGCACCTGTGTCTCATGCCTAAATCCTCCTGGTGGAACAGACATTGTAGAGAAAACTGACAAACTTCAGGATGATGGGAGAGCATCTAAGAGATATGTGAAAAGTTACAGTAGCAAACAGTCTTTACAGTGTAAGAAATCTAAAAAATCATTCACTTGCCTGTCATCTGTCCAGCGACATGTGAGAGGTCATTATGGACAGAAAATCCACGTTTGTGAAGTATGTGGGAAATCCTTCAGTTATTATTGCCAACTTGCACGGCATGTGAGAACTCACACTGGAGAGAAACCCTATGAATGTAAAGAATGTGGAAAGGCTTTCACTCGCATCTCACACTTCCGAGAACATGTGAGAATGCACACTGGAGAGAAACCCTATGAATGTAAGCAGTGTGGCAAAGCTTTCAGTTGGTGCACTTACCTTCGAGAACACATGAGAACACACAGTGGAGAAAAACCCTATGAATGTAAGCAGTGTGGCAAAGCCTTCCCCTATCTCAAATCCCTGCAAGGACATGTGAGGATCCACACTGGACAGAAACCTTATGTGTGTAAGGAATGTGGGAAATCCTACAGTTGTCCCAAATACTTTAGAAAACATGTGAAAATACACAATGGAATAAAACCCTATGAATGTACAGAATGTGGGAAAACGTTTATTACTTCCTCATCCCTTCGACAACATATAAAAACACAGTGAAGAGAAACCCTATCAGTGTCAGCAGTGTGGGAAAGCCTTCAGGTATCTGATATCCCTACAAAGACACATGAAGACACACACTGGTGAAAATTCTGAATACAAAACTGTGGAGAAGCCTTCCTTCTCCCTTAAAACCTCATTGTAAATGGAAGCAATCACATGGAGTGAAATCTTATGAATGGAAAGAATGTGGAAAAACCTTCAGCACTTCACTTATTTTGTAAATGAAAACTCAGGGCACAACAGAAATCTTTTGTTATAAACATGGTTTTTCCTTTGTAAGTGCCTCATCCTGAATAGGGATCCCAGTGTATTAATTTCTAGTTCGTGTTGCTGATCTGAACACTTAAGATAATTAATTATCCCTCCATGTCCCCTTCATCTGTATCTCATATAAAACTTGTCTCGTTTCCATTACACTGTCTTTTGAACCCAGGGATGTTAAGCGGTTTTTGGTTTTGGGGGTTTTTTCAGGTGCAACTTGGTATAATTTTAGATGAAAAAAGTTTTGATTCTTACATCCCATTGTTTTCCTCATATGTGATCATGAGACCTGTATTGTTGAAATGTCTTTCCTGGTCTACTGTTACAGATACTGGAATTTTCCGACTCAGTGTTTACCCTCCCCTGGAGTATTAAACTGAAATGTATGTCTTTTCCATGTTTCCTTTTTGCATATATGTCCTCACAGAAATTAGTAATTGTGCAAGGTCTTGGAGGACCTTCTGTCTCATCTGATTATGTTCATAAATTTGACCTCTGTTCATGTCCATGATCTTGGTTGGAAATTGGACATGATCCGTGGAGTTAAGAAGAGTGACTTGCTGGCATGAAGATGAAAGCTCCTGTCCAGACGGTTCTACTGAATTGTGTTGTCAGCTTGGGTGAGGTGGGAAATTGTATATCCAGAGTCCTTCTGTTAGTGGTTCTGAGTTAAAGTTCATGGGAAGAAGAAGATGCATGAGGTCTGGAAAGCAGAAGCGGGGAAGCCATGATTCTCGGGTCTTCTGTACCATCAGGAGACAGAGATGCATGGCAACCTGGTGAGCCTGAGTTCCAGCACCGTTTTCTGACTTCTGGCTCTGCCCATGTGGAACAGCCCCCAACCAGACATGTGTTTGATGTTAGTTCCCTGTTGGGCAGCAGATTCCACACTTGTCCACAAGTTCTCTCATGGATCTTCCTTGGTTTTCAAGTGCACACAGATCCTTGCATGTTCCTATGGCTCTTTGGTGTCCATCAGCCTACTTCTTCAGGCTTCAGAAGATCACCTAGTGATTTACTCATATCCTGTGACCTCCCCCCCTTCATGTCCAATGATTCTCATAATTATGTGATTTCTGTAAGAAGCATCTTGTTCCTTTAGTAGAGAGGCTGTTTCCTTCCCAACCAAATGCAGGAAACTTACTTCCCTGGTTGCACTGTTGAGGCTGCACTGACCCTACATTTGTTGTTTCTGGATACTTCTGTGATTGCAATAAGCACTTTTGAATGTATTTGGCCTATTGTGAGCGTTCTCTCTCTCTCTCTCTGTCTCTCTCTTTCTGACTGTGTTGGGTCTTCGTTGCTGCGCATGGGTTTTCTCTAGTTGAGGCAAGTGGGGGCTACTCTTCATTGCAGTGTGCAGGCTTCTCATTGTCATGGCTTCTCTTGTTGCAGAGCATGGGCTCTAGCAGGCTCAGTAGTTGTGGCACTTTGGCTTAGTTGCTCCGTGGCATGTGGGATCTTCCCAGACCAGGGATCGAACCCGTGTCCCCTGCATTGGCAGGTGGATTCTTAATCACTGCACCACCAAGGAAGCCCATGTTTTCTCTTATAGCTGACTGCTCTCTAAGCCATAAACCTACTATATTTACTTACCTTGCATTTATGGATGTGATTACCCAGTGTTTAATTATTTCATTTTTTAAATGTTTTGTTTGTATTCATACTTGATATACCAGAGTTGTCAATAATTATACAATAATCAGAAAAACAAGCTGCAAGTTGGTGTCCAACTATCCCCTATGCATTGGTCCGTCTATCTGCATGATGGCTTATAGTAGTGAGAGAAATAGCTTCTTCACCTGTACCTTCCAAATCTCTTGCAATTTAGGCCATTGGTGAATTATAACCCGAAATTATAAAGACGATTCTGGGAAGTATACATCCCAGCCTTACCCACAATGAAATAACGCAATGCAATAGAAGCATATCTACCTTTCATTGACCTTTCATAATTAGCACAGTAGGGGCTAGAGGATATGAAGATGGAGATTATATATATATGAAGTGTATATATATATATATATATATATATATATATATATATGTGTGTGTATATGTATAAAATATAAAATATTTCTGGTTCCAGAAAATAATATAAGCAGAACAGTAAAATAACTATTTCAGATAACACTGGAAGTTGATACTTAAATGGATTATAAAATATATAAAAGTATACATATACCGAGTTCAGTAGTGTCCCCCCAAATTTTATGTCCATCTGGAACCTCAGAATATGATCTTTTTTGGAAATAAAATCTGATTTTATTTTAAAAAATCTGGGAGACAGTAGGTCCAAAATGGAGTCACTTGTGTTAGGCAGCCAACCAAGACTTAATAACGAACCAAATTGCAGCGTCAACTTTTCCCAGGAATGTGGCCTTTAACCAGTGAACCTGGTATTTCCTGGTCTACAGTAGGAGGTATTCCACTGGTAGACTGCCTACACTTCTGTTCCCCTCAGAAGGGTGACCTTGCCTGAAACAATGCACTCTTTGCTAATAACTTTCCTTTTTCTGTCCCTTCTCTGTCTTTAAAAAAACGATTATTTCTGCAGGTCTTTGGACCTCCTTTCTGCTTGCTAGAAAATGCTGCCTGATTCATGAGTCGTTTAATAAAGCCTATTAGATGTTTAAAAGTTACTCAGTTGAATTTTTGTTATTTAGCAGATTTGGTGGCAGTGATAGGATCTGAGGTGAACTTCTGATGGCATTTGGGAACAATGAGGAACACAGATGTGGTACGAGGGAACCCTTTGAGTTCACTGTCTTTCTCATTATCTCTGAGGGTTATGGGTAAGTTCCTCTTGGTTTTGATCTCTACTCTCTTTCCCTTGAGCTCTCACCCTTTTTAGTTTGCAATTTCCAGGTGTTTGAGTGGAAAACTCCAACCCTTTTTTTCTGTCCCAAGATCCACATGGGGACAGTTAGTAGCAGCTTGCAGTTCCCCAACCATGTGGAGCTCCTATTCCACAGTCCCCATTTATTGAGGTCTGCTGGATCAACCCTTTCCCTACTCCACAATTCCACAGAAATTGCTGGTGGTGCACACAGAGCTTCCTCTTGGGAAATCTGCAATAATTAGGTTTGTGCTGTGACCAACACAACCTGCTGCACCTGGATCAACATTTCTGGGAAAGTTGAAACTCAGTTACGTGAGCTCACTGAGTAAGCCCCTTGGCTGAAAGAGGTGACTCTTTTGGTGGGGTCTTTCTTTGACTTATTTGATTTTGATTGGTTTGGGCCATGGAGAACGTGGCTGTAAAGTGCACTCTGAACATTGGGCATTATCTTCTTTCCACTAACAATAATAATACGCTTTCTGGTGCACTGTATCCCCTCAAGAGTCTTTAATGTGTGTTCATAGCTGCGAACCACCAAGCAAATGACCTAAGACTGGAATGTCAGAAAAGAAACAAGAGAATGACCAAATTTAAAATGGAAACCTGGGCTTCCCTGGTGGCGCAGTGGTTGAAAGTCCGCCTGCCGATGCAGGGGACACGGGTTCGTGCCCCAGTCTGGGAAGATCCCACATGCTGCGGAGCGGCTGGGCCCGTGAGCCATGGCCGCTGAGCCTGCGCGTCTGGAACCTGTGCTCCGCAATGGGAGAGGCCACAACAGTGAGAGGCCTGCATACCGAAAAAAAAAAAAAAAAGGAAACCTAAAGCTGTGACCTGTGAATATCACAAGGATTAAGCAAAAAGTGTCATGACATATGGATACCACACAAAGGATCAACAAAATTCACAAAGCTTGTGAGAACTACAGGGTAACAGCTGAGTGGTACTAATGCCTTAAATTTTGAACACATTTCTCAGCAAAGCTGGGACTGATCGAAAGAGGGAAATGTTTAAAAAAGGAAACTACAGGCCTCAAATGGAGTCACTTGTGTTAGGCCCCAGCCTCACTGCAGCAAACTAAGTCTTAATACCTAACTGAATAGCAGTGTCAACTTTTCCCAGGAATGGGAGATCTCTTCCCAGGAAGAGATGCCAACCTGGCATCTCTTGGCCAACTGTAAGAGGTACTCCACTGGTAGACCCCTTCGGTTTCCCTTAGGAAGGTGACTTTGCCTGAAACAATGCATTCTTTGACAATAATTTCTTTTTTTCCACGTCATTCTTTCATTTTCTGTAGCTCTTTGGAGCTCCTTTCTACTTGCTAGATGAGATGTTGTCCAATTCATGACTCATTTAATAAAGACAATTAAATCTTTTAAATATGATCAGTTGAATTTTTGTTTAACAGGTCTTTTCAGATATACTCAACACGAGTTCATAACAGATTAGAGTAGGTCTGGTCCAACGATGGACGTCCTTTTAGAAAGAGGGAACTTTGGACACAGACCTGCACAGAAGATAGATATGTCCTCACCACATGAGGTAAAAAGGAGCAAATTGGCATGATCTGTCCACAAGCCAAGGAATGCAAAGGGTTTTTGGCAACCACCAGAAGCTAGAAGAGAGGCCTGGAACATTCTTCCTCACAGCATCCAGAAGGAGCCAGTGCTGCCAACAGCTTGATTTCGGAATGTCAGACACCATTGCTTTGTTAGGGGACCTGAGTAGACTAATATAGTTCCTAAGGCAGCAGTAGGCCTTAGGTAATTTTAGGATAGCCAGAGGCCGGTGCACCTGGAGCAGAGTGAAATGATGAAACAACAGCAGAGGTCAGAGGACAGTGTGAGGGTGGTAGGCACATCCTGTATTGATGCACTGGCCTGCCATCGTGCACTGACATTGGCTGTGAGTGACATGGAGCCTAAAATTGACCAGATGAGGCAGCTTCACCAGATCCTTCTGTTTCCTTGAGAACAGGCACTAGGATGATGCTGTCAATCAAGGTAGTAGATCAGACTGGGTTGGTAGCAGTGGCAGTGTTGTATGGGGTTAGAGCCCAGACATAATTTGAAACTCAGGCTATTAGAATTTCTTGATGGCTGAAAGTTTGGGTGAGAGGAAGAATCAATGGTTCCTCCATTATTTTGCACAGAAAAAACAAAACCCAGCATGATTGAGTTGCTATAACTGAGATGCAGGTTGTCAGCCATGGAGAATAGTGCTGGAGTGTGATGAGTCCAACTCTAAGTGTGTCGGGATGGAGATGAGATCAAGACAAGCTGAAACAGAACATAAACCAATAAGACTTATTAGGTTTACTACAATTTAAATTTTTTTCAAAAATGTTACTAGAAACATTGGTCCAAAGAGTGAAAGTAACTGCTAGCAGTTGAATCAATACGTGAAAATGGTATTGTCCTACAAGGGTATGGATGACTAACCATTTTCAAAAGAAAGATATTTGATATAAAATTGTATATACCATTTATGTTTTCAAAGAACCAGCTGTGAATTTCATATATCTGTTCTATTTTTTTTTAGTGTCTATTTATTTCTTCTC